AAACGTTATGTTCCGTTTGTTCTCCGCGGACTTCCCAAAGCAAATTTATAATTTCTTTGCACAGTCTCTTTTCACTTTTCGAACGCCTGTTTTTACCGCATTGATTTTATTTTTTTCACAATTAATATATACTTTTAAGAACATAAACACGTCACTATTGAAAAAAATTTAAATTTACAGATTCATGTCGTTAGCATTTGCATTTCATTTTCAAGTTTAAGTGATTTATAAACATTCTCCCTTAACACTTATTAAAGGTTTATTTGTAAAAACTTTAAATAAACTTAATATTAAAATAGCTTATGTCAAATGATATTTCTGATGAATACCTTTTTCTGTAAAACATTACTTTGATTACGCATTATAGTCCCTGACAGACAATAGCACACAACACATACAAGAGAAACGAACAAGAAAAAGACGGAGTAGTTCGTAGTTGCAACGAACCGCGAACGAGAACAGCCGCTTTGTACATAAAACATTTTTCTTTGCTATAAAACCACGATGGGCAAACGCGGCTCTTTGAGCCAAATGCGGCTCTTTGCTTAGAAAAGTGCGGCTCTTTGCTTAGAAAAGTGCGGCTCTTTGCTTAGAAAAGTGCGGCTCTTTTTACTTTCTCCTTGCTTAGAAGATTTTTTTTCTTTTCTTTTTAAAATACATATTTCTTTGCTGGACATAATTTTTCATTGTGTTGTTTTTTTATTTTATACTTTTTATATAAACATACCCAAATTAAGATCGTAATATTACCCGCAATTGGAGAATGAAAATTGGCTTTCTGACTTAATGTTCTCTACCGATATGATGGAACATTTGCAAAACTTGAATTTGTCTCTACAAGGAGAGAATAAAAATGTTTTTGATTTGTCGCAAATTATTCTAAGTTTTGAAGCTAAACTACCTCTTTTTATGATCTCAAAAAAAGAATACTTAATCATTTTCCAAGGCAAAAAAAAATATTGCGCATGATTTAAAAGCAGATTTTGAAAAAAGATTTGCGGATTTGAAATTATTTAATATGTACGTTTGAATACTTCATAAACCCTTTTTTATGTATCATAATTGAGGCCGCTGTGGTGTAGTGGTAAGCAGTGCGCGCTTTCACTCCGCAACGCCTGGGTTCAAGCACTGGTCAAAGCAACATCGCAAAAAAATATAGAAAAAAGGGTTTTTCTTAACAGCGGGTGTCCCTCGGCAGGCAATGGCAAACCTCCGAGTGTATTTCTGCCAGCTCGGTCAAACACTAACATATGTGTAAGCGCCAATCTATTATTATTATTTAATTGAGGATGAATTTACATATCCGAAATACTCCTTTTTAAGAAAAGCGAAGAGTTGGAGTTTTTGGAATGAAAAGAAGAAAAGGCGCTGGAAATGCAACACAAAGCTTTGCTATTGCTTGAATTCCGGCAATAAGTACCAGATTTAAAATATCCGCTGTTGAAAACAGCTGCGTCCCGTACATTTCCAATTTTTGGTACGACGTATAACTATGAGTCTGTACTCTACAATGAAATTCGTAAAGTCAAAATGCCGGAAATTGAGAGAGCAAAATGAAATTTCATTTTGAGAGAAAGCTGCTAGTTTCTGCTGAAAAAATTTTCGCCAACTGCAATTTACCAACAAGAAAATAGCTGATCAAAAACAGCTGGTTGGAGTTTACGCAAATCTCTAAATTGAATTTGATGGTTTGGAAGTTAAAATAGTAAAATACGACTAATTAAACTTGTAAGAAGTAAATAATTATTCGTTTAGCCAGAGAACTGTCTCAGGATAAGGCTACGGGATTTGATTTCTTACGTTGCCAATTTTATACTTTTGAATGTAAACCAAATTTCTATCAACTGTTCGTCTAACTCGCAAGTTTCTGCAAATTTTCTGTTTGAACTGATGACATTTCGCCGGAATTTTGCTCTTGAACATATTTTACTGGAGATTTAAACGAACGAACCTATTGACAAACCAACATTTAACAGAACTGTTACGAACGGCTTTAACTGACGAAAAACCAGATTTTTAAAATTTGGCCAAAGGGATCTTTCGAATTTTCTTTATTATCTATCTAACGTACATTAGAATAATAATAACATTAATGTTTTTCATTTCTAATAATAATTTTATTTAAAAATAAAATTTTTGTTTTTGTTGTTTTTTTGTGGCTCTTTGTAACATTTAGCTCCTATCGGCCTCGGCCATGTTGTTGTTGTTGTATCGGCAACAGCAAACCCGCCCAGATCGGTTAATATCTCAGACGTTGTCGCCAAGCTCCACTAACGGAAGCCCCAGGAAGCGTTCAGCCCACAGGGACAAAGGCGTTAGTGTTGTCGGGTTTTCCGGGTATACGAAGAGATGTTTCGAGTCGTGGGGTGTCTCTCCGCATGCCGTACACTCATTTGGCACATCTGCGTCTAATCTGCTCAGGTATGAGTGTAACCTGCTGCAGTAGCCAGAGCGAAGTTGGGCTATTGTAGTTCTAGTCTCCCGAGGCAGATGAAGCTCCGTCTCGTCGATGTCCGGTGGTTGTGTGCCTAGAACGGCATTCACACGTATGGAGTCTACATAACTCGAGACTGACTCCCTGTGAATGCCGTTCAGGACCTGTCGATATGCTGACGAGTCCAGAGGCTGCTTAATGAACCTCTCGACTTCGTCCGTCAGTTCGTAGAGATGCCTGCTGACGTGACGTGTGTCAAGTTAGCACTACACTTTTCGAAATTGAANGTTACAACGGCATTAATTGTAGCTTTTTTGTTGTAAATTTGTTGTGGAAAGAAAAAATTTGTAGCTTTCGTTTTTTAAGAAAAAATGGTATGTAGTGCTAACTTGACACCATACACCTAGTCGATAGAATTGAGATATTGATAATGTTTTAACGGCATTAATTGTAGCTTTTTTGTTGTAAACTTGTTGTGGAAAGAAAAAATTTTTAGCTCTTGTTTTTTAAGAAAAAATGGTATGTAGTGCTAACTTGACACCATACACCTAGTCGATAGAATTGAGATATCCAATAAATACTCAAATACTCAATTTTTTCCAGAAAAACGAAAGCTACAATTTTTTTCTTTCCTCAACAAATTTACAACAAAAAAGCTACAATTAATGCCGTTATAAAATTTTCAGTATCTCAATTCTATCGACTAGGTGTATGGTGTCAAGTTAGCACTACATAGCATTTTTTTCCTAAAAACGAGAGCTACAAATTTTTTCTTTCCACAACAAATTTACAACAAAAAAGCTACAATTAATGCCGTTATAAAATTTTCAGTATCTCAATTCTATCGACTAGGTGTATGGTGTCAAGTTAGCACTACATAGCATTTTTTTCCTAAAAACGAGAGCTACAAATTTTTTCTTTCCACAACAAATTTACAACAAAAAAGCTACAATTAATGCCGTTGTAACCTTTTCAATATCTCAATTATATCGTCAGTGGTGCATGGTGCCAAGTTAACACTACATACTAAATTTTGTTCGAAAAAGGGTCAACTCAATTTTTTCCAGAAAAACGAAAGCTAAAAATTTTTTCTTTTCACAACAAATTTTACAGTTAATAGCTACAATTAATGGCATAGTAAAATATTGGATATCTCAATTCTATCGACTAGATGTATGGTGTCAAGTTAGCACTACATACCATATTTTTTTNTATCTCAATTCTATCGACTAGATGTATGGTGTCAAGTTAGCACTACATACAATATTTTTTAAAAAAATGAGAAATGAAATTTTTTTTCCACAACAAATTTACAACAAAAACACTACAATTAATGTCGTAGTTAACTTTTCCAATTTCGAAAAGTGTAGTGCTACCTTGACACACGTCCTGACGTGCCTGGGCGAGGGCTCTTTTGCAAGCAGCTGTCTATTTGGGTGACCACGTCTGCGGCTCCCAATCAGAAACTGCTTGCAGAGTATTGTGTAATGCTCCTTAATAGGGAGCATTTTCGCCTCGTGGTGGAGGTGTTATTCTGGCGACATCAAAAGGCATCCAGTCACTGTCCTAAGTGCAGTGTTTGGTGTCGTCTGTACTTCATCCACTGCGTCCTACTGGTCCCCGGCGACCATACTGGCGCTCGGCCTCNTTTTCGCCTCGTGGTGGAGGTGTTATTCTGGCGACATCAAAAGGCATCCAGTCACTGTCCTAAGTGCAGTGTTTGGTGTCGTCTGTACTTCATCCACTGCGTCCTACTGGTCCCCGGCGACCATACTGGCGATGGGCATGGGGCCTTGGCCTTCCTCACCCCTGCTATAAAACGTTAACAAAAAACTTTAAAAGACGAGTGTACTTTATTTACTCGGAATTGACTCGAGTATGACACTTATTTAACGCTTATTATAGCAACCTTACTTTGAGTTATTTTTAAAAACATTTAGTGAAATGCTTGCTGGGTTGTATAAATGTGCATACGTCGCTTTCTATCTTTTTGCCCCTTCTCAATACTATATCTTCCTTCTTACTCATGTAAGTTTTCCAAGTTTAAAAATTTCACTGTCAATTTTTGCGATACCGCCGCCTACGAAGTTTCACTTCAAAAAATTTCTTAACATTAAATGCAAAAAAAAATATTTATATAAAAAAATAATAAAACTTAAAAGTTGAAATAATAAAATGTCATTATTACATTAACTGTAAAAAAAAAATATTTATATAAAAAAATAATATAACTTAAAAAGTAAAATAAAAAAAATGTAATTAACTTTCCGACTGTTGTACATAGCAACGTTAGCGAAATTGAAATTTATTGAAAACAAACAAAAAGTTTCATAACCATTCGTAAAAAAGTTAAGCAAAAGTTTTACTTTGTCCATTAAATGTTGTTAATGAATCATTAACTGACTCTGAGAGGGAATTTTTTCAAATCTTTACTGAGGAAAAATAAAATACTCTGAGTGCGGCTGTAAGTCTTTTATACACCCTTCAGCGGAGAATTTTATGTATACGTTTTACAAATTGCGACATTAATTCTCTAAAATTTTTATCGACATTTGATTACAATTACCTCTAATCATATTAACTATTTCATCAGCTTCTCGGGATAAATCTCCTCCAGGCCTAAAAGGGTTATCCCAACCAGAATCAGTACTAAGATATAAATTAAGTGGTTAGGATTGCATTTATTTATTTTAATTTTAATAATAAACGGTACCTTTGCTGTCTGTTATAACTAGGTATTGTTGCCACAGTTGCCATTGTGCTATTTACTTTGAAATTGTAACTTTTTAGTATGATATTATCCTCAAAATCGAAAATTTGCAGTGGAGGCCGATTTGCTGTGGTTAATTGCTTTGATAAATCGAGGCACGTACCATAGAATGCTCCAATCTAAAAAAAAAGAATATACATACTTAAGAACACATTACACTAAAGCCGTTTTTAAACATTCTGCCCTTATACCATTTTCGCATGGCATTCTGAATTAAGTTGTTCGCTTCCCCAATTACGATCGGGAATTACCCCATTCCCACGGGCACATTCTTAATTCAATTTGACAGTTCTCTGTCTCTGTGTTTTGTTTTTGTTATTATTCGCTGCATAATTGATGCAAATATAGGTTCTTACTAAAAAATTTTATGTTTCGTATACAGAAAAAATGCAAGTTTTTATTTGTGAGCTAATTTCAATAAATTTAGAGACAGCACCGATTTGTTCGCAATTCGCATGGTATTTGGATCTGAACTACCAACAAATGAGGTAATTCGCTCTAAAAATTGTGTATGGCGAATTAAGTAATTCGAAGGGTAATTGGAGTGCGAATTACGAATGAGAGAGCAAACCACGTGATTGGGGTGCCGTGGGAAAGCCGTATTAGTTACATGTTTTTTGTGGAAATATTGACCATGCTTTTTATTTTGGCATATGTTTTAACTACGAACTAAAAACTTTAGAACAGATGAAAATAAGGTGTTTTATGTTTACAAAAAAGTTATCAATAACCGGACCGATCAATTTAAACAGTATACGTGTTGGCCAAACCAAGAGAATGGAAATCTAATAATAAGAGGACAAATTTCCCAAAAGTTACAAATCATAATAAAACGGATTACAGTAATAACAATTAGTCAAGATATCCACCAACAGGATATCAGAGCTCGAATCGCGGCATTCGTGATCGAGTGATTACTCGTTTCAAATCGAATCAAACAAGATGGCAGCTGTATTCTCCACAATACAATTTATATGGGCGAAGAACACTCGATATCGAATGCCGTAATCTCAAAATCAAATTTCGATTTAGGTTACGTTCGATATCGAATGCCGCGATTCGGGCCCAGAATATTAAAAATCTTAAATGCGAATTACACCAACGGACTCCATCGTCCAAGTAAAAGTAAAAATCAATTCGTTAAACACCTCTAGACAACAAAATCAAAAAAACAGATTTCCCGTTCCAAAAATAAATAGTTCGGTCAAAATAGACATAAAAGTAATAGTACAGTAACTTGCATAGAACTGCACTGGTTTTAGGTAAAATATTGAAAATCCCCACGTCCTTTAAAAAATTTATTCAAGGTCAAAGCTTTCAAAAATTGGTTTCAGTCGTATTTTTTGATAAGTAATCAAGTACCCTCATTTTTTAAAAACCTTTATAAACATAATTGTAAAAACAAGCAATTAAGCTGGCCACAAACGACAAACATGTTCGCGCACATGTTTGCAAACTTGCTCGGCTGTCATTACCTACAGACATACTCCCGCCTCTGCCGCAAAAACTTTGCAAAAATCAAGAATTTCATGACAGCGTTCGATAATATGTATCTATTACAGTTTGTTGTGTAATGTTTACCTAGTACACAGCTGGTGTGCATATGTACATAAAGTAACTCGGTAATTCTATATTTCAAGGTACAACTTTCAGAACAAAAAAAAAACGTCCAAAACTGTTAGGAGTACCAATCGGCACATTTTTATCCCAGTATTAACAATTCGGTGTAAAAGTTATTAAAAAATACTTTTTCGAAATGTTGCTCTTTTTTATGAGTAATTGCATGCTCAAAAATGCACTAAATCTTCAATATTCTCTTATGAACCACTAGTAAAATATATTATTTGAAAAACTTTTTCAAGAAGTACATAAATTTTAAAACAAAAGATTGTTTGTTTTGTTATTAAAAAACAAATAAACAATGTTCCCGAACTGAAACGAGAAAATTCAGAATGGCGTAAAGTGCTGCCATTTTATTTATATTTCGTAATAATCCAGTTTTCCTTATATGGCGTCTGCAATGCTGAGTACTTTTCGGTTTTGTCATTAGCAATATTATACACGCTTAAATTTTATATAAGTAAATCTTACAAAACGGGGTAACAGGATTGATTGTAACCATCATGAGAAAAATCAGGAAAAAAAAACCTATCCCATTCAGTTTGAAAATTATGGGCATTTAAAAAAACCTAGAAATTTGGTCTAACTGTAACCATTTTTCGGTTATTGTGGTTAATTTTTATTATTTTTGTCCATTTAACCTTTGGAACCTTAACCCTAAATAACATTTCTAGAACCTAAGTCAAAAATAATGACACAATTGCCCCAAGTTTTCTAGAATTAAGACTATTTATTAAACTATGAATTTAAAATTTTTATAATTTGTCGACTTTGAAAGGCCCTCCTTTAAAAAAAATGTACCAAAGTGCCTTGGCAAGTGCCATTAAAAGTTCTCGCATTTAATCAGGATTCTAAAATGGTACAATACTTTTTAGTTTCATACTAAAAAAAAACGAGTAAAAAAATAAAAACCTCAAGTAACCCGATTTTTGCTAACCCATTTTACTCAGTTCAAATGTTTTTTATTCGCACAAGCTCTTGGTAGGTTCTTAATTTTACGGCAAAATGATGAGAGAGATGGATAGTGGACATGTTTGCCATGAGTGAGCGAGACAGATAGTGACGCAAAAAAAAAGTAAGTAAAATTAATAAAATAATGAAAAATCTTGATAAAATTAAGTTTAGGTTTATTGGAATAAAAGTGAGATAGGAAAATAACATTTTTTAATACAATAAATGTTAAAATTGTTTACCATCAGCATAAATACACGCCCTACATCTTCTTAAAAAAGATCTACTTATTAGCCGGGCATATCCTCGAGAGTGGATGTCCTCAGTAGGCTTTGAATAAACTTTTTCTTTGAGACGCCCCAATAAAAAAAAATCCAGGGGATTTAAATCTGGGGAACGGGCTGGCCACGAGATAGTGCCTGAACGTCCAATCCACCTTCCCGGATATTCCTGGTCAAGGAAATCTCTTACTTGCACTGCGTAATGCGCTGGGCAGCCATCTTTTTGATACCACATGTGGCGACGATCTGTTAGTGGTATGTCCTCTAACAAAGTTGGTAAATTTTCTCGTAAAAAATGTAGGTCATTCGTGCCATTCAAGTTTTTAGGCAGGTCTAAAGGCCCAATAATTTTGCCGTTTAAAATTCCGGTCCACAGGTTTACTTTAAAGCGATACTGGGATCTGTCTTATCGCATTAAATGTGTTGGATGAATTGGGGATTTTATTATGCCTCTGTAGCATTGTTCTACAAAATGAAATCCTTTCAGGATAATCTCGAGGAAGAAGACTTTGAACTCGTTGTACGTGAAACGAATGCATTTCGGCGCTTTGTAAAATACAATGTGCTTTGCTTTTGGGTATTCCCGTTCTTTCTTCAATTCCACGAACGGAAATACTTGGGTCATCTGCAACACTTCTTCCTCGTAAGGAAAGCGAGCTCTACCTCCAGCCGTTATTTGATTCGGGAAATGGCCGCCCTCTGTGAGTGAACGGTGCACATTAACAAACACGCGGTGATCCGGATAGCGCACTAAATCTGGATATCTTTCCCGATAAAGTCTAGCGGCAGCCCTTGCGTTGCATCTGCATTCTCCATAAATGAGGTGCATGTTCGCATATTCTTGTGAAGTGTAGCGCGTAGGCGTGGTAGATAACAAGGATGCCAACACAAAAGTCCAATTCCAAAAGAGAGAAGCCAAAGTTGCCGGTATGTAATCAACAAGTCCAATTCACAAAGATCCAAGTCCAAAAAGCCAAAGTTGTCAGTACTAAATCAACACAAGCGAATAGGAAAGGTGAGCTGTAGACGAATGAGCGAAACGTACTAACTACAGTGTTGCAGTTACAGCGTCAGACTGGTGTCAGATGATAGCGTAGCCATTTGCTTGGTATGGCGACTGTATCTGTTTCATTCGCTCGCGTTTAAACGACGCATCTCCGTCTCACTGCGTGACGTCACTATATGTCTCGCTCGCTCATGGCAAACACGTCCACTATCCATCTCTCTCATCATTTTGCCGTAAAATTAAGAACCTACCAAGAGCTTGTGCGAATAAAAAACATTTGAACTGAGTAAAATTCTACGAGAATTATATGCCATTTCTACGAAATGTTTTTTCCCCATACAAAAATACATGGAAAACTTTGAGCGCTTTTAGCGACCTCTAAATATTTTTTTATTTCAAAATAAAAAAACAGGGGTATACTTTTTTCGGTATAAAACAATCCTAGGGGGTGAGAGCATAAAAATCCCGACTTTACTTTTTCACATGCATTTTTGGGCCACCCTAATGTATATACATTAATTTGTATAGATATAAGTATATACGTATGTATATGAAATTTCCTTTGAAATCGGTAAGATGCATATTAACTTGAGGTAAATATGTATAAAATTGTTAAGGACAAAAACGAAGAGTACTCAACCTCTTATATTTACATACATATATCGTCGTTTTAAGTACAAAACCGCGTATCGTGGTTCTGCAAAACCACGTAACTGACATTTTTTGCGAAAAATTGGGTTTGCTCACCGAAGCTCTTGGCTCAAGCCTTATCCATTCGTGCTGAAATATACTAGCCATAAATGCGATTGCTTTATAAAAGAGAGAACAATTTTGAAATATGAGTGTTTTTACTCTCTACAAAATAATTTATGCGACCTGACTTACACGGTTTTGCGTTATCTTGATACGCGGTTTTACATTATGTTGATAAGCGGTTTTGTACTTTAATCGACGATATATAGATGTTTACATATATCTTACTGATTTAAAAGAAAACCTCATATATGTACATATTTATGTATATCATCAAAAGCAAGAAGAATGAACAAAGCAACAATTTTATACGAGGTCTGGAGGCGTGGCGCGGAGTATGAGCACGGCGCGGGGTGGCGAGCCAACGCGGACCGCCGCTAAAGAGATAACATTTACTTTTTGAAATGAAATAACACCGTATGGCTTTATTTCTCACATGTAAAATTTTTGCTTATGGCTTTATTTCACTTTCCCCATAGAAATAAAGCCATATGGCCTTATTTCTCTATGTGA